AGAAGCCCATGTTTTCATACATGTGGATTCCCTCACTGCTGGATTTCTACCCAATCCTAACCACTAAATCATAGAATTGTACATTTTATAACCATGATAATTTTTTAAAAATTTACTTATTTCTCTTTATCTCCTTTAATTTAAACATTATAATTTCTTGCCCAGATAACTGGGCAAATGATTCCCCCATTACTGGAGAATGCTGTGAAAGTTCCTTCATTCATCTCTCATTCGTTCCCACTCCCACATTCTAGCACTCCATTCTCTGTAGAAAAACTATGAGTGACAGTGTACCTATCTTTTTTTAGGCCCCAGTGCGATATCCCCTCTTCTGGGAAGCTTTCTGTAACCTGGCCCTGGTGCACCTCCCACAGATACATAATGAAGTCTGCTACTGCACTTATTTTACTATACTGCAGTGGATGGTTTACTTGTCCATCTTTCCAGCAGGCTGTGAGTTCCTTAAGGTGAGAGACAGTTTCTGATTAATCTTTATTCTTCCCAGAATCTAATGTCATACCTGACACACAAAAGAAATCAAATGTTTATTGAAATGACAGAAAGATGATACAGGAGCTATTAGTCAATAGATTGCTGCTGTAATCTAAATATGAAGCTAAGAAGATCTAGTGTACTGGTGATTGTGAGGATTGGAGAAATCACTGATGCAGAAGCCAATTCAATTCATTAAGCACTAACTAAATACTACAGAAACTAGAAACTACAGTAAGACAGAGTCCTAGCCCTAAATGGTTGCCAATTTAGCAGAGAAGGTATGAAACCAAGCTATAAAATGTGTCAAGTTCTAGAATAGTAAGAACAGTGCTCATTAAGTCCTGATTATAAAGCAATTAATTTTAGGGAAATGGGGGAGGGAAGAAGCCTCAAAAATAGGTAACCTTTCAGCTCAACTTTCCAGGCCAAAGAGAATTCTGTCAAGGAAAGAATGGGAACAACAGTATTCCAAAGAGGGAACTGGATAAGAACAGCAAAAGGGTACAAGGATGCCTAGCTCATAGTAGGTGCTCATTAAATGTTAGCTAAATAAAAGAATTTATAAGTATTTCCATGTGGATAAAAATTAGGAGATGGAAAAAAAAAAAAGTAGGAGATGAAGCTGGAAAGGTAGCTGATGGCCAGATAATAAAGAACCTCAGTACAAAAGGTCTCAGCTTAGATTGGTAGCCATTAAAAGGTCTATAGCAAGGCCCTAACGCAATCAGAACTGTGTTTTAGAAACATCTGTAATGGTTTTGAGGAATATGGTATTGAAACAGTGTCTCTTAACGAGCTAAATGAAGGGGTACGTGCCCTGAGTGTGATAGGGAAGAAAGAAAAAAGGGAGCGGTATATTGAAATAATACCAGCTTATAAAGTAATTTGTGCTAGAAACAAGAAGAAATGAGGGACCGAAATGTGCAAGTAAGGGTGCTTATTCCAAAACAGAAGCCAAAAGGACTGATGAGAAGAACGAAGGGGAAACCAAAGAACAAAAGCTATCTAAAACCTAACTACAACAGTCAGAATCCTGTATTAAGAATAAAGGTAGCGCCTCCAATGTAGGCACAGACCCTGATGTAACTAACTGTTCAAGTACAGCAAGAATGAACAGGAAAACACAAAGAGAGGGGAGGCAGAGGGTACCCTCTATCCTATTAGAGGGTAGGTAGAAAGGAAGAACTGAAAATGTCTGAACTTAAAATGTTACGTAAATGGAGGTATTACGGTTTTTTAGCTTAGATAGGGAACACTACTAGATCAGGATGCAGATCTGAGGAAAACAGGTACAGTTTTGAATATGCTGAATATGGGAACCTGTACAGTGTCCAGTTTGAAATGAAGTTCATAAAGAGGTCAATGCCTCACAAAGATTTGACAATCATGAGTGAAACAGATAGAAGTAGAAACCATGGGGAAAGAGGTCATCTACAGAGTCACTTCAAGGTGAGAAGAGGGCCAAGGACAGAGCTGTGGAGGTTATTTACTTTCAGAGGAAGGACAGCCAAGAGACAAAAAAGGAGATTCAGAAAGAATAGTAAGAAAAATAGGTAGAAAAAGGAGGGGAGCTAGAGATGAGTAACAATGATAGACAACACTTCTACAATATGACTATCACAGGTGAGTCTCTGTTGTAAGCATTTATCTACATCAACTCATTTAATGCTAATCATAACCCTATAGATGGATACTACAAGTATCCTCACCTTATAAGTGATGAAATAGAGAGGCTAAGTAATTTGCTAAAAGCCACTCAACTAATAGATGGTAGATATGGAGTATGAGCATAGGCAGTCTCTCCTTGAACAAGAGAATATCAAAGAAAAGAGAGGCCAACAGTGTCAGACATTGCTAAGGAGAGTAAGATTTGAGGTCCTCATATTTGGAATTAGGAGTTCACTGAGAGAAGCATAAATCAGAATAAAATGGGTTAAAAAGTTCATGAGAAGTGAAGAGACAAACCCCAGGAGAAAATTTTTATAAACTGTGTATCTCATGAGGGACTATTTGGCACATATAAAGAACTATTAGTATTATTTAATTAAAAAAAAACCCCAATTTTAAAAATTGGGCAAAGGCTTGGAATGGACAGTTTTCCAAAGATATACAAATGGCTGAAAAGCACATGAAAAAATGCTCAGCATCATTAACCATCAGAGAAATGCAAATCAAAACCACAAGGAGGTACTACTCCACATCCACTAGGAGAGCTATAATCAAAGAGTCAGATAATAACATGTGTTGGTAAGGAGGTAGAGAAATTGAAACACTTGTAACACTGCTAGTGGGAGTATCCCTTTGGAAAAGTTTGGCATTTCCTCAAATGATTAAACACAGAAACTGTATGACCCAGCAATTCAACTCTTAGGTATATATCCAAGAGACATGAAAACATGTCCGTACAAAATTCTCTACATGAATGTTTATAAGAGCATTATTTATAATAGCCCCCAAACAGAAACAACCCAAATGTCCAAGTACAGAGTAAATTATATATGCCATATCCCTATAATGGAATAGTTGGCAATAAAAAGGAATGATGTATTAATACATGCTACAACATAAACAAACCTTGAAAACACCATGCTAAGTGAAAGAAACCAATCACAAAGAACCACATACATACTGTAAGCTTCTGTTTGTGTGAATTGTCCATACAGGCAAATCTACAGAAACAGAAAGTAGATTACAGGTTGGGTAGGGCCAATGGGGGAAGAAGACTGGGGAGGTTTGGGGAGTGGTGGCTGAGTAGTGCAGAGTTCCTTTTTGGTGTAATGAAAATGTGCAACCATCACCATAGGCAACTTTCGAGTAACTCTGAGAGCATGCTAAAAGCTCTGAATTGTACACCTTAATTTAAATTAGTGTACGGTATGTGAAATACATCTTGACAAAGCTGTTTTAAAAAGATAATTGGAAACGAAGTAGAAGACAGGAATGCTTGAGTGGGGAGATAAGGTTGAAGAAAGACTGGGGGAAACCTGAATAGGTTTTACTGAGAGAAGTCAGTGGAAACACACACACGCGCACACACACACAAAAGCATCAGGGATTAAGCGAAATCCTTACAGGGATGGAGGAAGAAAACCGAAAAACTGGGACAGCAAAGATAGAGATAACTGGTGTAAAAGTAAATTGAGAGGAACCCATTTTTCACAGAAATAGAAGAAAGGGAAGTAAATACTTCCCTGTCTGTGGCTGAATATAAAGATGAAGGATAGAGTAAGAAGTCCAAAAAAGTAATAGAAGTTAGAAAAATTGTTGACAAGGAAAAGAAAGCAACAGATAAAAGCCTTATGTAGAAAATAACAAAAACCTTTTGTAGAACTAAGTGGAGTGAGATTAGAAATAAGCTTTAATGATGTCAGTATGTGTGATTATAGGATATTTTTGGCTAGATTGGTCAGGCCAGTTTATACACTGAGATGCCAGGTGACTGGGCTGTTTTGGGGTTGAAGGTTGCTGAAGAGTGTAATGAAATGCTTGATCATAAAATCCCATTGAGTGGGGAAGGTAATTAAATGAAAAGATGATGGATGTTTCAAAGGAAGAACTGGATTTAATGACTGAATCAATATGAAAGACAAAGGAGGAGGATTTCTAATTCATATGTCTGGAAGAAATGACAACTAAATGACCAAAAAAGAGTTCTTGGAGAGGAACAGGCAAAAGAAAGATGATGAATTACTCAAAAATATATCATAAGGTTTAGATTGAGGAAGGTTCTTAGGAAAATAAACCTGTCATTTTATTTTTTTTAAAGATTTTATTTATTTATTTGACAGAAAGAGAGAGATCCCAAGTAGGCAGAGAGGCAGGCAGAGAGAGAGGAAGAAGCAGGCTCCCCGAGGAGCAGAGAGCCTGATGCTCTGAGCGGAAGGCAGAGGCTTTACCCCACTGGGCCACCCAGGTGCCCCAAACCTGTCATTTTAAAGAGAAACAGGAATCAAGTGAGGCCCAGAGAAGTTGAATGACTTTGATAAAGCCTCAAAGTACCAACCGAAGATCAGAAATAATTTCAAACTCCAAGCCATCCTACTGCACCCAGAACCTCCCTAATATCTGGAGTTTGACATGATACAGGACATATAAATGGTAATGCTTCCCGAGGAGATTCAATAGCACTAAAATTGGGTCTGAATTTCTAGGTTTATTTCAGATGATAGTGGGGAAATATGATTCAGGAACAAAATGAATGACAGGAGAAGCCAATATGAGATAAAACATTTGCTCTGGTAATCCACATGGAGATAATCAAGAGTTGGATGTAGAATGATATAAGCACCTTAAAATATTCTAATGCGAGAACATTTAATGCTTCAAAATCCTCTCAGTGTTATTTGGCAATATAGATGCTAGGACATATAAATTTATTATGGCTTAGAATTTTTAACATTAAGAGCTTTTGCTTACTTTTAAGGTTCTTTTTAGGTTACAGAAATATGAAATACTGAATTGAAGTCTGATTAGGTCTCTTTTAAGGGGCTAGATATTTGCCTTACCTTTACTACCTTGTAGTCACACAAGTATTCCACCTCATAATTGTTTAGATTCCTTTTGGTGATTCCAATCGATTTACATGTGAGTTTTTCTTTTCTACATAATTCCTGAAGAGTATCAAGTGAAACTAGGCAAGGCACACACCAAGCTACAATAAGAAAATAGAATTCTTTACTAATGAAGTAGCTACTCAATTAAAGCAAAAAAAAAAAAAAAGGAAAAACTTAAGACCTCTATATCCCACCCTTCAACTGGCAATTTTATAGAACTGAAAATTCATAGGACAAGAAACCATTTACGTGTCTTCCAGAAAAAGTTAAGCATTAAGGAACTATTTTGGGAAACTGGTCTTCTTGGATTTTTTTTTTCATAGGTCTCTATCCTACTATGCTTAATTAATGTAAATTAATTTCTACTAAGCTACCTGAACAAAAAGTTTCATGTCTGTAAGCTTTCTTAAAATTACATATAGATGCAAAGGTCAACAGAGATAATATTTTTATCTTTTCCATTATATTCTGCATAGAATACAAAGAATATAATTGGTTTTAATGAAATGTAGATCTCTAAGGCAAACTTGTTAAAAATATCTTAAATATATTTTAAAAACATCCTTACAAGTTATTCAAAACAACTTTCTCCCTTTCTCTTTGTTGGTCAATAAGAAATGAAATCTAATTGAAATATAACTCTATAGTATCACAGTTTTACATCAATCACATGCCCTACTTTTCCCATTCTGAAATGCTGAAGGAAATTTTAACTTCATTTATTATTTTGCCTATGCTGTATTATTATCAAGGTAAATAAACCCAAGAGTTATAACAAATAATGAAGAATTTATTTTCATAATACTCATTTCCTGTATTGTTTTTAAAGCCAAGATTTGTAAAACAGAGTAATCAATTTACATAATCCATATACCAAATTAAAAAAAAAAAATCAGACACACTCATACTTAACCTTAGAGAAGCCAGTAACTAAATATGCTGAAGATTTTTACTCACAAATTTCTGTAAACAGTATGCTACCATATGGCATATAAAATATGTTACCGCAAACTGATGTTTAGAAATATGTAATAAACTTGGTTTTATTGCTAGTGTTATGGTAAGCACTCCAGAGAATCAAGGGTCCTCTGCCCCAGCCTTTGCTATCTGCCTACCTGACGTTAGTGATATTTCCATCTTTCCAGATTTCAGATTCACTGAAAAAATGTGAGGGTGGGAGTTAAGTGGAATTAACCAAACAAAATCTACCAGTAAATTCAAGCTTTACTTGGTAGCTCTCCAAGGTAGTTCTGATAACCTTTTGTTTTGAGGTAAATTTCGAAGGAAGAGAGAACACACAGCAGCTCTTACAATATCCTTCCCTCACCCTTCCCAACTCATACTGGGGCTTCATTGTCAGAAACCCTGAAGCACGATTTCCACCACCCCGCTTCCTACAAAAGATTCATAATTCTAGACTACAAAAATGAAAGGTATTTTCTCCAAAAAAATATTTGGGGGAGAGACTGCTTACGGTGGAGTAGTGGTTTGGGTGTAGGAGAGTGCTGTAAGAGAAATGACCACTTAAAATGTCTTCCATTTAAAAAAACTTGGGGATGCTTTGTGTAAAGTTATCCTCACTATGCTGATCACGGGCAAAGGAGGTTCCTCTTGGATATCACCCAAGCTGTGTATGTCTTGTTGTCCCTACCATTTTTATCTAGTTTAACCTGAGGTTCAAGACAACCCTGAACGGAAACGCTATTTTTGAGAAAAAGACTGTAACATAGAAAACCGCAAACCCTTGGTTAACAATTCTGATTATCTATAATAATGTAGAAGATAATTCATTTGGAAGATTAAACATTTCATTACCCACTACAAAAACCTTACACTAAGTTCACACTAACCTCTAGCGGAAGAAAAGTTTGGGGATAATGAGCTCATAATCTAGGTGGAGAGTAGCGCAAGCAAACACTTTAAATTCTAGAATGCCTTGAAAATTCCAGTCTTTCAGGGGGTGCGCGCGGCAGGCAGGCGCACACACACAAGCACTACACGCTAGGTATCTAAATTCTCTGGCGTCCGCATAAGTAACACGCAAGTACCCGGTGGGTATAAAAATTACCTTAAGCCAGAGGCTACGTCTTCAAACACCCACTTACTGGGATATTCTCCGACGGGGAATTAACCCTTCTAGTGCGTCCATACTGAGGCGTATGCTCACTTATTTCCTGAGGGTTCACACTTCAGCCCCAATTTCTTTTTTCCTCTTATACTGAGGTCACATTTACACCACCGGGTACTTCCCGCTCCCCAGTTAAAAAGCCAGCCGGAACACAAAACGTCCCGCCCAAACCACCACAAAGGAGTAAACCACACGCGTGCCCACAGGCACTCGAGCACCCCCCCGGGGATTACCAGGAGCCGCGGCGGCCGCCCGAATACCTCCACACGGCGACCAGGCGGGGAGGGGCCTCCGGCCCAACGGGCAGCGGAGGCCGGGCCACGGAGTCCGCGGGACCTCCAAGGAGCGAGAGACAGTCGACCTCGGAGCAGGGCGCGCGGACCGGGCCCAGCGGAAGCGGGGCGCAGGAGGAGACTGCGGGGAGCGAGCGGGCCGTGCTGTGAGAAGGGTCAGGGACCGGGGGAAGGGTGAAGCCCGCGGGGCGCCTTTAGGGGCCAAGGTGTCAGCAGAGTGGAAGGCGGCGTTTCGCCGCGTCGCGCTCTGGCGGCCCCACGGATCCCGGCCCCGCTTCCTGGGCCTTGGGAGTTTGCCTGGAGAACGGGGGATATTGAGGGGTGCCGCTCTCCAGCCCTCACCTCCTCGCGCCTCGGTCCCGACCGCCGCCATCTTGAAGAGCTTTCATTCAAACTGGCGCGGTCTGACGGGATAGCTCAGCTGGCTTGACGCCCCGCCCCTGCCCGACCTGCGCGGGAGTCGGGGGGCCCCGGGCTGGGGGATGGAATCTGCGACGCGTCCTGACGTCACCGGAGGCCGACCCCGGCCGCAGCGGCGAGCGCGCATGCGCCCCAAACCCCATCCCTACGCGCGGGAGGGCGAGGGAGCCGCATGAGGGGGTGGGGGGGCGGGGCGCGCGCGCGGGCGGTCCCGGCCAAGCGGCGCAATTTGAGTTAGCAGCCAGCCTACCTTGACCGGGTGGTGTAACTCCTAATTCGGGAGCATGCATATGCATCAGGCCTTCCCACGCTTTTTAGTTCTTCCATGTCATACAAAAATCCAAAATGTAGAGCGGAGCTGTATGGTACAGAGTAGGTTTACCTGCCATGCCTGTTCTTCAGCCACCTGAGCCCAACTAACCATTGTTTTTACACCCCTAGATCAAAGGTTCTCAAAATTGGTTGCATGTTGGGATCACTTGGAAAGGTTTTGTTTTTTGGTCCCACTCGCTGATATTGATTTAATTGGTATGGGGTGTGACATGAGCTTTGGAATTTTTTAGAGCTCCCCAGGTGATTGTAGTATGCGGCAGTTTGAAACCACCAGTCTCCATCTGTGCTTTTCACACTTGAATGGCCATAGGAATCATCTGGGGATCTTGTTAAAATGCAGATTCAAATTAGGTAGGTCTGGGCTGGGATCTGAGGTTCTGCCGTTTCTTTTTTTCTTTTCTTTTCTTTTTTTTTAAGATTTTGTTTATTTGACAGACAGAGATCACTAGTAGGCAGAGAGGCAGACAGAGAGGAAGGGAAGCAGGCTCCCTGCTGAGCAGAGAGCCCGATATGGGGCTCGATCCCAGGACCCTGGAATCATGACCCGAGGCGAAGGCAGAGGCTTTAACCCACTGAGCCACCCAGGCGCCCCGGTTCTGCCGTTTCTAACGAACTCTTCGCCTGATGATTCTTGGTGGGGGGCGGGCAGGGTCGAGCGAAAGGGAAGTTTGCTAGCAAGGCTTACAGGACGCCGGGTCTCTGCTGGACAACTGCCTGAACTCCTAACAGTCTCCCCACCCCTCACCGCCCCGCCCCCATCCACTCTTCACACCGCTTCCATGGTGATTGTTCTAAACAGTCTAACGCAGGAATCTTAGAAGAGTCAATTGGGAAACCCTGTGTAGAAAGCCGTTTGACATTGACCAAGGATTTTGGTAATATTTTGGTCAAAAATTACAAAAATCTTTCAAAGCATCATGTATAAATTTGGAACACTGTAAATACAGAACATTGAAGAAATTAGTTTGATTCCATTGTGAAATACTGTGTAGCCACTTAAAAAGATGTTTATGAAGACTTTAGTTTCATGGGGGAATGTTTAACATGTGAAGCAAAAAAGCAACAACAAAAACCTATAAAAGTTTCAACTACATAAAAAGGCATAGGAAGATAAATGTAAAATCTCTGGGGGGTGATTTCCTTTTTGATTTCTCTTTACATATTTAACCATTTTCTATAGTGAGCATCTTATTACCTTGGCAATAAGGAATAAAAAATCCTATCCAACCCTATTGCCTGGAAGCCCTATTGTGGCATAGTGGTTCCTGTCCACATCTCAGGCCTCACTGCTCATCATTGTTCCTTCTTAATTTGTGAGTTCCTCAAATATTCCCTGCTCTGTGTTCCCAGGACTTCTTCAATTCTGCTCTTGCTGCTAGAAAATGCCTACTTTGCCCCTTCTTTACCAGGACTACTCCTAGAAACCCTTTAAGACTTAGATGCAGCTTCACCGCCTTCCTCCCCTCCCCAAGTGTATTCATTGCCAGTCCTATGTGTTCTTATTAGAACAACCCAGGAACATCTATCTTTAACTTTTTTTTGAAAAATATTTTATTTATTTATTTGGCAGACAGAGATCACAGGTAGGCAGGGAGGCAGGCAGAGAGAGAGGAAGGGAAGCCGAGCAAAGAGCCTGATGCGGGGCTCAATCCCAGGACCCCAAGATCATGACCTGAGCCAAAGACAGGCTTTAACCCACTGAGCCACCCAGGCACCCCCTCTTTAGCTTCTTTGTAGGTTTTTCTTCTACCTCATTGACCTCTACACCTCACTGACTTCTCTTCACTCCCTTTATGTAGCCTAAATGCTGAGGTTCCTTAGGACTTGGCCCCCAAGACATCTCTCTTAGGCTCTCTCCCTAAGTGACTGCCTCAGTTCCCATGGGTTTATATATCATCTTTATGCTAAAGCTTCCCAACTTTTTGTCTCCAGCCTTGACCTCTTCCTTGAATTCCACATCTGAATACCCATAGTGCCTTGCTGACATATTCTCTTAGGTGTTGCACAAACATCTCAAATTGATCACACTCCTAAGAGTGCCCTTCATTTTTACCTCTAGACCTGCCTGGTCCTCTCCACTGCAGGCATCCCCACACTTTCTCATTTCAATACACTGGTACAACCATCAACTCAGGGGTCCAAGAAGGAAATCTAGGTGTCATCTTGATTTCCTCTCTCTTCATTCCATAATTTCATTAGCAATTTGTGTCAATGCTATGTCCAAAATATACCTTCATACTGCCTCCTTTCTCCATTGCTGCTGCTGTGCCCTTAGTAGAGGCCACCAAAAGCCTGCCTGGCTTCACTTCCGCTATTGCTTCTCCTCCAATCCATCTTCCATACAACTCAAAGAGTCACCTTAAACATAAAGTGGGACATGTCCTTCTCCTGCTTTAAATACTTCCTGGAGTACATAGAATAAAATCCAAACCTTCTGCTAGCTTGCTAGGCCTTAAGTGATTGGAACCCTAAACACCCTGACCTGACTTTGTTCCCCTCTCCTCTTTACTCACTCTTCTCTAGGCTCTTTTCCACCCATTCAGAAATCTTATATAGTGTTGTATCTCCTATGTGCCAGACAATGTATGAGGTGCTTAAAGTATACAGGAAAGAAAAAGACCCTGTCTGCCTAGGGCTTATGTCCTAGTAGGAGAAGCAGATAATAAGCAAGTAAATAAATATCTTTTTTTTTAAAGATTTTTTATTTATTTATTTGACACAGAGAGAGAGGTTACAGGAAGGCAGAGAGGCAGGCAGAGAGAGAGGGGGAAGCAGGCTCCCTGCCGAGCAGAGAGCCCGATGTGGGGCTCGATCCCAGGACCCTGAGATCATGACCTGAGCTGAAGGCAGAGGCCCAACCCACTGAGCCACCCAGGCGCCCAATAAATATCTTAAGGCAACTCTAAATTACTTCCTGGAGGGGTGCTTGAGTCTCTACTTGTTCCATTTCCTCAGAGGCCTCTCCGGGTCACCCTAACATAGGTACTTCCAGTCTTCCATTCTTTCTCCTTGGCACTAAATGCACTTCCCAACATTTGCAGTTATCTTGTGTGTTTTTTGGGTCTTGATCAGTTTCAGCAAAATTTACAGAATAAATTGGACTCTTTTGTAGATCAACTGTTTCCTTTGTCTTTCGTCTTTAACCCCACTAATTCCAGGGGACAGATAAGACCTTGTCTCTTCAGCAGGTACTACTGTGTAACTAAGTGAAGCAGCGACTCTCAAAGTATGGTACGGAGACCCCAAGACCCTTCATAAGTTCAAACCTTTTCATAATGATACCAAAATGTTTTCTGACTTCTTTACTTTCCTCTCACAATTATAGAGTGAAGTTTTTCAGAGGATACACAACTTGGATATTGCAACAGATTTAAAGAAACAGAACACAGCTATCTTCTCAAGGCAGACATTAAAGAGATTTGAAAAACATAAAACATTCCACAATTAACACTAAATCTTTGTGTTTTTTTTGTTTTTGTTTTTTTAAAGATTTTATTTATTTATTTGACAGAGAGAGAGAGAGAGAGATCACAAGTAGGCAGAGAGGCAGGCAGAGAGAGAGAGAGGGAGAAGCAGGCTCCCCGCTGAGCAGAAAGCCCGATGTGGGGCTCGATGCCAGGACCCTGGGATCATGACCTGAGCCGAGGGCAGAGGCTTTAACCCACTGAGCCACCCAGGCGCCCCTAAATCTTTGTTTTTGAAAAGTTATCTTTCATAAAAATGTTACTTAACATGTAATTTTTTTATTTAAAAAAATGAGTGATTTTGAAAATCTCTGGGTTTTAGGACTAACCCAATGGAGGGTAACATTTTTTCATAACATTCAGGAGATGAGGGGGAAACATACTACTGTAATCCTCAGCTGTAACTCAGGAAGGTTAGTTCTGGAAAGTTCTCTCCCATCTTCTCCATGACCTGGCTTCTGAGGATGGTTCTGATCTTCCCTGAAAAACCAGAGCCATGCCAGACCCTTGGCCCCCAAAGTTATCCTTGTATCTCCCAACATGCCCAGCAAAAAAAGCTCAGACTCATAGCAAAAGTTCACATAGGAAGGAGGAAGGAAAAATATGAGTCAAAGGGCCTACAAGTTACAAAAGGAAGGAGGCTGGTTCAACAGACAAGGAGGTGCAGGAGTGATGGGGAAATCAGAGACACATACATATATATATTGAACCAATGTAGGGATGCCTGGTGGCTCAGTCAGTTAAGCATCTGCCTTTAGCTCAGGTCATGATCCCAGGGTCCTGGGATAGAGCCTTACATTGGGCTCCCTGCTCATTGGAGAGCCTGCCTCTCCCTCTACCTCTGCCTTTCCCCACCCCCGCTGGTGCTCTCTCTGTCTCGCTCTATCTCAAATAAATAAAATCTTTAAACAAAAATAAAACCAATATAAATAAAAGCTCTTTAGATTCCCAATAATTTTTAAGAATGTAAAAGAGTCCTGAGACTAAAAAGTTTGAGGATCTTGGTAAATTCTGGCTATAAATGGAGAGGGAAATCAAAGCCAGACACATATATCACTGGCCTCAAGGGAAACATACAGAAGTATGCCTCCACCCCCCAGTTTTTTCCCCACAAAGACCCATGCAAACATGATTTCTGGAGACCCATGGAGTGTCCCCTCTTTCATTTGAATGTTGTTTGGGAATAGAATGGACAATGTAAATTTAAATGAAATAATGCACAGAAAGTGTTTAGAATAATAAGCAATCAAGGAAAATTGTTAAAAAAAAAGCATGAGTATTAGTTCAAAATTCACACTTACTGTCAGTTCTTGGATAAATTAACTTCTCTCCATCTATTTCTCTTTGTACATGTAGAACACAAATAATAGAGGCTAGCTTACTCTCTGCAAATTGCAACTACTCTGGGAGCTATGGTGATGTTACAATTTAAAAGTGAGATAAAGAATTAAAGCAAACAAACAGTGGTATTGTTATGTTACATGGTCACTCACTGCTATTTTAGAAATCCTGACATTTTCCCTCAGAATTTGTTTTGTGCTGATTTTAAAAAGATTTGAGAGAGAGAGAGGTGAGAGAAAGGAGAGGATGCTCGTGCATGCTGAGCAGAGGAAGGGGCAGAGTGAGAAGGAGAAAGAGCAGACTCAAGCAGACTCCCCCCCGCCCCGCCCCGAGCATGGAGCCTAATGTGGGGCTCAATCTCACAACCCTTCAGATCATGACTTGAGCTGAAGTCAAGTCAGATGTTTAACCGACTGAGCCACCCAGGTGCCCCTTGCTTTTGCAATTTTAATTTTATAATGAATGTGTATCATTTTATTTTATTATTTTTTTTATTAAAATATTTTATTTATTTATTTGACACAGAAAGAGAGATCACAAGTAGGCAGAGAGACAGACAAGAGAGGGGAAAGCAGGCTCCCTGCTGAGCAGAGAGCCCGATATGGGGCTCGATCCCAGGACCCTGAGACCATGACCTGAGCTGAAGGCAGAGGCTTAACCCACTGAGCCACCCAGGCGCCCCAAATGTGTATCATTTTATAATTAGAAGAATGTTGAAGCTATTTTTACCTTGAAAAAGTAAAACATACAAAAAGTTCATTGGCAAAACTTCCCCACATTCAGAAGAAGAAAACCTTGTCAGATGAGAATACAAGACAATTTGGAGTACATTCCATTAGGCAACAGAGCACACTCGGTGACAGTTTCAAATTTGGTATGTTGGGGGGCAAAAATCATGCGAAGCTGACTAATAAAGCGAGAAGCAGCGGTATTCCTTTCCTCCTCCATTGCATTTCTAAAGGAATCATAAAATATGCAAAAGATGTACTTACTGGCCACTGTCCTGTAGAATACAAAGAGGACTTATTTTTTCTTCCATATAATGCACTTATTTGATAGACACTGACTGAACACCTATGATGAGGTTATGTGTTCTGGGACCTGGGACATTATGATGACTAAGAGTGTCTCTGCTCTCACAATACTTACTAATCTAGTGGAGAAAGCTGTCAAGTAAGTAAATTATTACACAGACATGGAAGGAAAGAAAACTCTTGAATAAATCCTTATGATATTTTATTCTACAGGTTTCATTAATCTACTTCAGGGGTTGACAAACACTTTCTGTAAAGAGCCAGACAGTAAATATTTTAAAGTTTGTGGGCCACAGAGTCTCTGTTGCAACTCCTTACTGCCTTTACAGTGTGAAAGCAGCCACAAACAATACAGATACCAGTAAGCCTGGTGATATTCTCATAAAATTTTATTTACAAAAATAGGAATGGCACAGGACTGACACACTGGCGATGGCCAGTGCCTCGTCTAGTTTAAAGAGCTAACAGTAACTATGAAATAAAATTCAATAGCACTTTCTGAAGCATAACTGAAAGCTGTTCAACTAGTTGAGATGTTACTTTCCTATTTCCTAAAAACATTTAATTTGCATTTATTTATTTATTTGGTTTAAGTTTGTTTTTTTTTTAAGTTTTTTTTATTTTTATGTATTTATTTGACAGACGGAGATCACAAGTATGCAGGGGGGCAGGCAGAGAGAGAGGAGGAAGCAGGCTCTCCACGGAGCAGAGAGCCTGATGCGGGGCTCGATCCCAGGACCCTGAGATCATGACCTGAGCCGAAGGCAGAGACTTCAACCCACTGAGCCACCCAGGTGCCCCAAGTTTTTTTTTTAAATAAAGATTTTATTTATTTATTTGACAGACAGAGATCACAAATAGGCAGAGAGGCCGGCAGAGAGAGAGAGGAGGAAGCAGGCTCCCCGTTGAGCAGAGAGCCCAATGCGGGACTCGATCCTAGGACCCTGGGATCATAACCTGAGCCAAAGGCAGAGGCCCTAACCCACTGAGCCACCCAGGTGCCCCTGGTTTAAAAGTTTTTAATAACTGGAAAAGATCCTAAAAAATAACTAAGTACTCAGCCTTAATCAAAAGGGTATGCCTTTGAGTCTGCTGCTTTGTGGACTCAGAATCATACCTGAAATCTTTTTGAGTCTATCAATAATCTGATACAGAATAATCATGAAAAAATTTAAGTTTGGTTTCTGTATCTTTAGAAATAGAATATTACTGCCACCAAACTCCATAAAAATAAACTATAATGAAGAAAGCACATCCACAAAGCCTGAACAAGATAAAAACAGCACAAGTTTTAATTTTACCACTGGGTAAAGATACTTCCTCTTCTCAAGTCTCCTGGGAACCAAGGAGAGAAATGAATGGAAAATCCTCTCTTGATAATAGAATCTCATGTGCACTGCTCACCTTCCAACTCTCTTTTCAATATATACAGATTAGTTGTCTTGTTTTAGTGAATAAGCGTTTCATTAGTAATCCACAGAGTATCTCAATGCACTAATGAGTGTTCTCTGATAAACAGAATGTGGCTAGCCTTCTCTTCAAAATAAAAAAAAGATCATTTCATTTCAAAAGATAAAATGTATTTGTTAGAGAGAAAAAGTCACACTAAACAAAATTGTAAAAAGGAAAAGTGAAAGTGTCACCCTATAATATTTCTGTCCATAAAAAGGCCACTGTTACAAGTTTGGTGGGCAGCCCTCTAGACGTTTGTTTTCTATGCTTGTCACACACATATCTATGCATAATTGTTGAGTTTGTGAAATTTTTTTTCTTTTAAAGCAAAAATTGTTTCTTACTTTGCACATGGCTCTCCAATTTCATTTAATATCAAACACTTGTAAATTGTTCCTAGTTCATTATCTAGTAAGAATTAATGAGACTTCTTCAAATTTAAAGTTATAGAACAAAATTTTAAAAACATTGTTAAATTTCCAGTAATATTTCCTTCAATTCAATTTAATTCTAAATAGCTTCATGATAGAAAAAGTTCCTTATATTTCCCACTAATAAAGGACCTTGTATTTCCCATCTTAAATGGAAAACAAAAAAAGGTTGCAGCACTTACTAATATATTGTATTTTAATAGAAACATATACAATTCATTCAAAAAGTATTTTAATATAAACATCACTTGTAAACAAAACCAAATAATATTGACAGTCTAGTTCTAAAAAAAACTCCTGGTTTCTCTAGAGCACTAAAATGTCACTTCAATAGAGATTGCTTCACATTTTCCAGTCTCTTGATCTGTGCATGTCACATGTAACGATCCATCTCTAAACAAACAAAGTATAACATTTCATCAGCTCATTTCATAAAAGCAAAAAGTTCTTAAGAAATAATTCGAAGACTTAGAATAAATGAGATAATTTTAATTTTTGAAAGAAGAGTATTAAGATAAAGAAGAAACACAGTTTCGGTGTCTAACTTCATGTCATATGCTGTAATTAGATAGCTGTTCTTAAAAATTTCTTTCTAGACCACTGACACAGAAGTTGTATTCCTTGAAAACCAGGATGAAGATCTCAAGTTTAAGACTTTATGCACACTGAACATGAATCATGCCATCCTTAAGCCTAGGCCAAGGCAAACACACACTAATGAATTTGACATTCTTGCTAAGTATGGTTATGGAATGAATTGTCTCTAAAGTTAATTTGGAAATGATTTACTTGCAAGACACAGTCTTATGGATGGCCAGTTGTTAGTACAGTGGTATTAGCTGGATTTAATTAGTAATATATATCCTAGAGCTTTTCTGTAGCAATACCAAAATAAACTTATCCTTTCATAGGATAAATAATATCAACATAAACCTTAGAAGATTATATTTAAGACTGATAAAATTGCATCTCAAACTTCATGGACCAGTTTTTTACACTGACCACACCAAAATAATTAGAGTTCATGAAAAATGCAGAATGCAAATAATTTGAGATACACTTTCTTTGTAAAATATAGCAATTTTGTAGAACAAAAAACTGATAAAACCTTTACAAGCTTTAATACCAAGTTTTCCTAGAATGGCAATGTGTGAAGAAATCAATAAACTAACAAAAAAGGTCAAGCCTCACAGTGAATCTTTGGAACATCAGAAATAGTTTAATTTTATACCTTTTCATTGTAAGAACAGCTAATATATCGCGTAAGCCGTTTTCTTTTTTATCTAGATCCTGGAGTACAACCTGTTTATGCAAAAATAATATAAAGATGGTTCAGTACTTTGATATATTAGTAAACTGATGCACCAGTTATTCCAATGGACCAAATCTTACTTACTGAAACCTTTTAAAATAGGGCAGTTTTCAATGACCAGAATCAGAGAATAGGATTAAGCTTTCTTAACTAAGAAATGCTGCCTTTAGAAGGAGAGCATATAAGTAATAGATTTGTTCCTCTTAAACATCATATCCTAGGTTATGAAGTATACTCGGTCTCAGAAAAAAAAGGCTGCTTTTCTTTTTGGTAATTAAGCCATTACCAGTAACATGTAAATTATATTTAGGTATATACTTCTATATATACTTCTAAAAATTCCAATATTTTACATATACTTGGAAAACCAATTTAAGGAAACACATGACAAATTCTTTTGTACAACTAAGATTATATTTGTACATAAGAAATATTAATGAATTTACCAAAAAAATTATTTAGTTTCCTAAAGAAAAGTATACCAATAAACCAAGTTTGGAAGTGACTTTTCAGATTTTTCCATTATCAAGTCTTATGACCTTAGGGAAGCACTAAGTACCTTGGTTTACTCATTTGTAAAACACAGAGATTAGAATAGATGGGATCTTTATAAGAGTAGCTCCCAAATTCAGTATTAGTTGACTAACTCTTCTCCTTTTGGCATCTGTAACTTAGGATATAGGGACAGTAGCTGCAGCAGAGTCTCGGAGCAGTGTATGAGGAGAAAAGGTAATAAATGTACAAGAGAGAGAAGCTAAGGGAATACTAAGACAGCCTAGTGAGTTTAGAAATACAGTACACAGAAAAGTGCTTATATAGTAATCCACGACAGAAACATCTGGAGGAGCTTGTGAAAACTTTACTAGTTGAAGGGGCCCTATTCCCCTAGATTCTAAGATGTTTGAGGTGGAGCCCAGATAGGTTTTGTATGTGTGTTTTCATTATCCTTTTGTTGAATTAGAAAACAGGTACAAAGCTAAAGATACTATGGATTCCCTTTGCTTACCTACATTTGTTTTATTTTCACTGTGAAAATATTTCATGCTCATGTCCTATGCTTTGTTAAAACTTCAGTACAAAGTGCTAAAAAGTAAAAAACAAAACAAAATCCTTTTGGTACCCACTGTTAATCTAAACTTAATAGTGGGTAGATTTATATTTCTAATACCTACAGATATTTTCTGTATCCATGCATGGATATTTATATACCCACACCTACCCAAACACCACCTCCCTCGCACACACCCAAGCTCTCAAACTTTTTATTTAAACACAAATGATATCATACTGTAAATACGGCTCTGCAGTCCCTGTATATGTGTTTTAATGTAATTATATTTCTTGGGCATGTTTCTAAGCAAATAAAGTGGCTCCACTTCATTTCTTTTAAAGGATGCAGAGGACTCTACAATATGAAATAGAAATGTGGTACTTTGAAAAAGTAAAGGTATCCTGTATGAGAGACAGCATGGTATAATGGCAAGAGCAAGGGCCCAGGAGTAAAACCAACTGAGGATAAATCTTACCTCAACAAGGAAAATAAGGTACTTACTGCCATGAGCCTGTTTCTCAATCATCTATGAAATGATCATAATAATGTCTACCTCATGGCACTTTGATGCATTTGTAAGTTGCCTGGTTTAGCACCTGGCATATAGCAAACCCAAAACTGTCATTTTTCCCTGCCACTTACATTCTACCAAGGAGAGTCAAGAGCACAAGATAAACAGAAAAAAATAAACAACCACATTGTATTTTGTTTCTGCTTTCCTGTAACTCTTTCAAATTAAAATTGCTTATTCCTTCTTTTAAAAGTAGAAGTAATCCATTCATACAAATGTGTTAAATAGGTATCTTATAAACATTTTATATTGATATTAAACTGAGTCTAATGAAGAAAGAAAAGCTAAAGAGTCTCACATGACTAATTCATTGCCCAAATTTATGTATTCACCTGTGCGAACTTGTCTTCCTCTTTTGCAGAGTTTTTCCCCTCAGACTCATAGAGTTCAAGGCAAACTGAAGATATACTTCCAGGGGCTTGTAATGTGTGTTGCCTTCGTGCTGGCAAAGGAGTCCCTGATGGGAATAATACTGTGAACCTGTTGGCTCCTGATTCATCGACTCCCTAATAAGCAGAAAAATAATATGCATATCCTTTGATATTTATCATTACAATTATAAAGTCACTCCTATTGTAAATATAATACTTAATCCTTGTTGATCATCTAGAAACTACAGATAGGCCAAGGAAGCAGATGTGATCCTCGATCCCAACTTACTTCATTTAAAAATAAATTGAAACATGTATCTCTCTATCTGTATTTGAAGCTTAGGATTAAAAAAAAATTTTTTTTAAAGATTTTATTTATTTCTTTGACAGAGAGAGAGACACAGCGAGAGAGGGAACACAATCAGGGCGAGTGGGGGAGGGAAAACCAGGCTTCCCACTGAGCAGGGAGCCTGATCCTGCAATCATAACCTAAGCATCTGCCTAATGACTGAGCCACCCAGGTGCCCTTATGATTAAAATTATAAGAAATTAATATGTTAGATCAATACTAACTGAAAGAAAACAAGAGACTCATTAAATGTAAAATTATAAATCTCAATTTAAAATTTTTACCAATATACAAATTTTCATTGTAAAACCATGGTATGTATAAAAACTTATGACAGTAAGTTTATGCTACTTTTATGGAAAAGTAAAGAAAAGCTAAACCTACCTTAACTAAAATATCTTTGGCTGAACACTCTATCTTAAGGGAGTCTTCCACTAAAAGGTTTTCTTTCCCAATAAGAATCCCTGCTTCTATAGCTGCACCAATAGGGATGACCTCATCAGGAGGGATAGAATTCAGAAGCTCAACAGTTGGGAAGAGATCTTTAATCAGTTGTTGTAGCCTTGGGATTCGAGAAGACCCTCCACAAAGGACAACCTAGAAAATAAAAATAATTTTCAGATTTTTACTTTTAGAACAATGGCTGTTTCTCAAAATCAAGTATTAAAAGTTCGGCCATCTTTACTCACGTAATGATAAAATACAAGAAGCCCTATTGTAACATTATTTTATGTAGTACTTACCATATATATAAAAATATATATTTAACACATTTTAAGTATTTAACATATTCTTTACTCATAAAAACAAAATTTAAAATGAAGAGATCTTACCACATGGTAGAAAATACAATATACAAACACTGTGGCTTATGATTAATACTGGGCATATGCAGCTTAACCATAAGCAGGCATCTGAATAGGAAATATATTAATACTTTATACTATTCCAACACTTCTGAAAGAAATGTTTACATACATCTTATGGCATTTTTATGACAAATATAAACAATCTCACTATGTGAAAACTACGCCACAGATTTTTATCTTCACCATGGAAGAACACTCAATTTTCTGAGGAAAAAGATGTTTTACAAAACTACATTTTAAGCTCTTGGTCCATCTAGTTAAATATCTTGTCTCTGAAGAATTTCATATAAAACTACTTTACTAGCTTATCCACACAAGTGCCCCAGCTTTTACGGCTGCCACCTGAGGGACTGGGGCTCCAAATCACCTAGCTCTGATAGTTAAAAGTACTGGCATTCATGAGTTCCACAGGACTATCACAATGAGGCAGTTTTTAAATGGTTAAGGAGCACCCCCTGCCCAGTGGCTATATACTTATATACCTGGGCTCAGCAGAGAGGGAGCCAGGCAAAAATGCCCATTTCCCAGTTTATCCCTGGAGGAGGTTTGACTGCATACTTTCCCAGCTGCTGCCTGAGAGTCTAGCTTCCAATCAGCTTGTTTCTTCAATCCTCCTCTTTGGGACACTGATGGTCTTGGCAAACTCTCAACTACTGAGAGCCACTAAGAACAAAGATGGCAGCTTAGGCATACAGATTTGAGAGGCAACCAGAAGCTTGGGGCTGGGGTGATTGACAAAGTTAATTTCTTATGTAAGACCAGTGTGTCAAGACTGGAAGATGTGGTAGTTATATGTAATGCACAGAAACCAACATGGAGAGTCAACATATATATTCCAAACAAAATAACAAAATAAATTCTCAAAAACTGATCTTAATGAGACAAAGGTAAGTGATTTTCCCAGTACAGTTTATAACAATAAGGCTGCTTGCTGGAGTCAGCAGAGTAATGTGTGAATAAAGAGAATCTCAACAGAGATATAGAAAATATAAAAAAAAAATACCAAATCACAGAACTGAAGAATATAATAACTGAACTGAAAAATTCAGTAGAGAGGTTAAACAGCACATTTCATGAAGGAAAAGAAAGGATTCATGAACTCAGGACAGGACAGAGGAATTCATCTAAAGATAGGAGTAAAAAGAAAAACAAATGAAAAAGAATTAAGATGGCTTAAGGAACTTATGGGACAGTAGTAAGTATACGAATGCACATACTATATAAGTCCTAGAAAGAGAAGAGAAAAAAAGGGGCAGAATGCATATTAAAAGAAATAATGGTTAAAAATTACCTAACCTGGGGAAAGAAACAGATATCCAGATCCAGTAAGCCCCAAAATTACCAAGTAAGATGTATAAAGGGACCTACACTGAGAAACATTGTAATTATAGTGTTAATGGGTCACATGGGTGGTTCAGTTGGTTAAGCATCCCTCTTGATTTCAGCTCAGGTCATGATCTCAGGATCATGAGACTGAGCCCGGCATCAGCCTCACTGCTGGGCATGGAGCCTACTTAAGATTCTCTCTCTCAGGGCGCCGGGTGGCTCAGTGGGTTAAAGCCTCTGCCTTCGGCTCAGGTTATGATCCCAGGGTCCTGGGATTGAGCCCCACATCAGGATCTCTGCTCAGCGGGGAGCCTGCTTCCTTCTCTCTCTCTCTGCCTGCCTCTCTGCCTACGTGTGATCTCTGTCTGTCAAATAAATAAATAAAATCTTTAAAAAAAAAAAAGATTCTCTCTCTCCCTTTCCCTATGCCCACCCACCTGCTCCCCTCTTAAAAAAAAAGCGTCAAAAGTTAAAGACAGAATCTCAAAGACAGCAAGAGAAATGCAACTTGTTACATACAAGTGACCCTCTCATAAGATGATAAGCAGATATTCCAACAGAAATCTTACAAACTAGATGTAAGCTATCCTAACTGCTGAAAGAAAAAACCTGTCAGCCAAGAATACTCTACCCGACAAAGCTATCCTGCAGAACTGATGGAGAGATGTGTTTTACACACCAATGAAAGCTGATGGAGATTACCAGACTAAGCAATGTTCAATGGAGTTCTTCAAGGATGCTAATTAGTAACTTGAAAACATATGAAACTGGTAAAGGTAAATATATACAGTTGACCCTTGAATAATTCAAAGGTCAAGGACACTTATTCCCTGCATAGTTGAAAATCCATGTATAATGTCTGACTACCCCAAAACTTAACTATTAATAGCCTACTGTTGACCAGAAGCCTTATCAATAACACAGTCAATAAACACATATTTTATATGTTATATGTATTATATACTGTATTCTTAAAATAAAGTAAGCTAGAGAATAAAATGTCAAGAAAACCATGAAGAAGAGAAAATCCATTTAAAGTACTTTACTGTATTTAATGAAGAAAAATCCATTAATGAGCAGATCTGTGCAATTCAACCTGTGTTGTTCACAGGTCAACTGTAGTTAAATTCAGAATACTCTAATATTGTAATGGTGGGGGGTGACAACTTATAACTCTAGCATAAAGGCTAAAAGAAAAAAACCATTAAAAATGACTATAAGTACAATAATTAATTAATGGATACACAAAACAAAAAGACGTAAATTGTGACATCAAAACAAAATGTGAAAAAGAGGAGTGTAAAAATGTAGAGCTTTGGTATGTGTTCAAAGTTAAGCTGTATCGGTTTCAAATAGGCTATTATAAGATGTTTTATATAAGCTTCATGGTAACCATAAAGCAAAAACCAATAATAGATACAACAAAAGATAAAAAGAAAGATATCAAAACACATTACTATACAAAAAAATCAACAAATCACAAAGGAAGAAGGAATAAAGGAACACATGAACTATAAAACAGAAAATTAGCAAAATGGTTAGAGTAAGTTTATGCTAATCAAAAATTACTTTAAATTATTTTTTGTACCCTAACAACAAATTATTGGAAAGAGAAATTAAGAAGACAATCCTATTCACAACAGCAAAAAAAGAATAAAAGACTTAGGAATAAATTTAACCAAGGAGGTGCATGATTTATACACTAAAAACTATAAAGATATTGATGAAAGAAATTGAAGAAGACATGAGTAAGTTGAAAGATATTCCATGTTCATGGAATGGAAAAATTAATATTGTTAAAACACCCATACTACCCAAAGTGATCTAGAGAGTCAATGCAATCCTATCAAAATTTCAGTAGCATTTCTCACAGAAATAGAAAAGACAATCCTAAAATCCATATGGAACCACAAAAGACCCAAACAGCCAAAGCAATCTTTAGAAAGAACAAAGTTGGAGCATCATGCTTCCCGATTTCAAAACGTATTACAAAGCTATAGTAATCAGAACAAAATGGTATTGGCACAGAAGCAGACACACAGATCAACAGAACGGAGAGCCCAGAAAAAAGCCCATGCATCAATGGTCAATTAATTTTCAACGAAGGAACCAAGAATATACAACATGACCCTGAGATCATATAAGGACAGTCTCCTTAGTAAGCGGTGTGGGGAAAAATGGAGATATCCACAGGCAAAAGAATAAAACTGTACCATTATGTTATACCATATACACAAATTAACTCAAATTGAAGACGTGAATTAAGACCCGAAACTATAAAACTCCTAGAACAAAACAGGGGGTAAGCTCCTTGACATTATTAGTCTTAGTAGTGATTTTTTTTTTGGATTTGACACCCAAAGCAAAAACAATAAAACCAAAGATAAATAACAGTAAACTAAAAAGCTACTGAACAACAAAGGAAACCATCACCAAAGTGGAAAGGCAACCTGGAAAAAGGGAAAAAATATTTGCAAACCACATATCTGAAAAGGGGTTAATATGCAAAATATACAAAGACGTCATAAACTCAAAAGCAAAAAAACCAAACAACCTAATTAAAAAGTGGGTAAACGGACTTAAATAGACATTTTTCTGAAGAAGATATACAGGTGGCTAACAGACACATGCAAAGATGCTCAACATCACTCATCATAAGGCAAATGCAAATCAAAACCACAATGAGATGTCGCCTCACCCTTGTTAGGGTGGCTCTCATCAAAAACACAAAAGAGAACACATATTGGCAAAAATACAGACGAAAGGGAACCCTTGTACACTGCTGGGAATGTGAAATGATAGAGCCACTATGGAAAACAGTACGGAAATTCGTCAAGAAATTAAAAATAGAATTGCCATATGATCCAGCAATCCCACTTCTGAGTATATATTCAAAAGAAATGAAGTCACTATCTCAAAGAGGTATGTGTATGCTCATGTTCATTATAGCATCATTCACAATCCCCAACATATGAAAATATCCTAAGTGTCTGTTGATGGATGAATGGATAAAGATGTGGCATATGTATATAGACACAATGCAATATTATTCAGTCTTAAAAAAGAAGGAAATCCCGTCATTTGCCATAACATGCATGAATCTGGAAGGCATTATGCGAGGTGAAATAAGCTAGACAGAGAAAGACAAATATGGCATGGTGTCACTTCTATGTGGAATCTAAAAAAAGGAAAAATGTCAAACTCATAGAAACAGAAGGTAGGAAAGTGGCTGGAGCTACGTGGTGAGGGAAATAGGGAGAGGTCGATAAAAGGGTACAAAATTTCAGTTGTAAGTAAATGAGGTCTGAGGATCTATTATATAACATGGTGATTACAGTTGATGATATTGTACTGTGTAATTGAGATTTGCTAAGAAAGCAAGCTTAAGTGTTTTCACCTCTG